CGCACGTTAGGATCGTCTCGGCGATCACAGTAGCTAGAAATGACCTCCACAAGGTCAAGATCGGGCTTGAAACGACTTGTTTCGATAGCAGCAGAAAACTCGGGTTCAAGTGAGGGCCCGTAGTACGTTGCTAGACAGTCACTTAGTGTGAATCAATGACAGATCCCGATGTACTTACAAATTGCCAATAAGCATTCCGCGGCAGAGCCAAAAGCGTCCCATCGCTTGATTTCATGCTCGCCGCGCCACGTCTTCACGAGAATCTCTTCCAACCACATCCTCAGATTCGCATTGAGTAACCAAGACCAATCACTGTCAAAACTGTCGACGGTCCGCAATCCGTGGGAACTCTTGATATGAGCGAAGACCGTAATGATTGGTGAGCGCGATGAGGTCTCTGAAGTTTTCTCGAGCATTTCGAGGAAGCATTGTCGAGCGCTGATTGCTCGTGCCATGCGAGTGGCGAGTCTGACCGCGGGCTCGTAGTTGAGTTGATCTCGGGACATCAATCTAACCCCAGGAATTTCACCATCAAGCATGGCCTCATACTCTGACTTATCACCGAGTGCGTTCAAAGCATAGATGCAAATCATGATAATGTGTGCCGCGTCCTCGTCGGGTACGTAGGCCGATCTGTCACCGTGGAGCGACAAGCGCTGTCCCTTGGAATGCTTGCTTCTTGAACTCTTTCGAATCTTGAGCTCGGGAGGCGGAATGAACAAACATTCGAGACTTTGCCACAAGCTGTCGAATATGAGTGCCCCGTTGATGCCCTGCCATGATGCAAATGCACGATGCATCTTTATTGGATGGAGATGCGGCAGTGGGTCAAAACGAGCGTCAATTTCGTCGCGAAAGGATGCCAGTAGACGCTTTGGATTGCTGAGGCACTGGTGAAGAGACTCGTCCACGAAACTCCATTTTTTGTTGTCGGAATCGTATCTCGGGATGCCGCCAGGCAGATGGATTTGCAGCTCGTCATCTCTTTCAGCAATTGCAAGACGTTTCAGATCCTCCATGATTGAAAGGGAGAGATGGGTTGCAGTGAATTTGCTCTTGCTGCGCGGCCAACCGTTCATTTGAAGGTCCTTGGCAGAGCCCTTTTGCTCTGCAATCGAGTGTCGAGGGTGGCGCTCCTTTGGTGGCTTAATGGCAGCTGCCTTGACATTGATCTTTTTGCACAAGCCCCCGTTTGTATTAGCTTTGGGCCCAGCAGATCCATTCGGCGCTGATGTGCATTGATCCGACTTCTCAAGCTTTCCAATCAACGGCTCGTTTGACGCAGCTCGCGCCTTGGCCGACTTATTTGCTTTTCCATTTGGCGTTGGAGACGCATACTCAAGGACATGACCATTCACGGTAGAAGATGTGTTTGAACGCGATGGCAAAGGAATGTTGACTTGGGTGTTCCGAGCCGAAATTGGTTTGGATGGGGCCTTCACATTTCCCGAACGACTTGTGATTGCAGTTCCGTGGCCAGACTCTGTTAGGTATTCAAATCCAGTCTCGATTTTGGCAGCGCGGTCTCCAGATGTCGCGCTGTCGGGGCTTGCCAATCCGACACGGCCGGTTTGATTCAATGTCCGGGCCACTTTTGTGCTGTACAAATTTTGCAAGAATGACCTTCGGTCTATTCTCCTAGACCACCCATCGCGCAATTCTAAAGATCCTATCCAGTGTGAAGGGCTGTCGATAATATTGCACAAGCCGGACTCTGGGTCATCCTGACTTGCCAAGTGATATGCGAGAGCCCTGGCGGAGACGGGGGTTGGACGTCGGAGAGGTTTCGACGTCAGGCGTTTGACGCAGCTGAAGCAGGTAGGCTTGGTACAGTGTGGGTTGTCGCAACCATGGCGTAACTGCAAAGTATACCTTTTGGCGCGTCAGGAGCAGACTGGGGCAGCTGGCGGGTCAACTTACCGGCGGACCAAAGACTGGAAGCTAGCAAGACGCGTGGCACTCGAGTCGCGGAAGCTCAACTCGTGCGCGCTCAGCACACGCGAGGATTCGAGCAGACGGCGCCACGGGTCCTTTGAAAGAGCGTCGGCAAGGTGCTGGGTACCGCCCAAGAGTTGCGGCGGCGACCCGCGCGCATCGGTCGTCATCTCATCTGGTTGCTGTCGAGGTCGGGGAGCGGAGGCGCGCTGGCCAGGCGAAAGACGGCTGTAGTAGATACGGTAATCAGCTCGAGGCGCGCAGAGGCAGCTCTGTTGTGAAGAGACGGGAGGCAGTACACCAGCCCAGGTAGTTATGGATGGGTGGCCGTGCGAACCGAGCGGAGGGGAATGGGAATCACCGGCATCAGTCAGCAAGCTGGGGTCACCGACCTAGACGTCATGCAACCAACTCAGCCCTTCACACAGGATACCAACCAAGACTCTCACTATCGTCGGCTCGCGCTCGCCACAAGGTCTGGCCGCTCCTGAAATAATCTCACCGCGCTCCGCTCTCCCACGCCATCTCCCTCCCTTGGACTTCTTCGACCTCACTTTGCGTCGACGACATTGTGACAATCTCCCGCTCTCGTCGCGGCTCACCGTTCGCTTGCTGGCCCCTCCAGCACCGCCAGTCGCCGACCACGACTTTTCCTCCGCCCACTCTCTTCACCGTCAAATCTGCTCAACCACTAGACGCCATGGCTTCCAATCAGTCTTCGCACCCGTTTACCTGCAACACCTGTCAGGTCGCCTTTCGCGCCAGCGAGCTGCAGCGCGCCCACATGCAGACGGACTGGCAGTGAGTGATTTTCGTGCTCCGATTTGTTTGCGTCTCTCCATGGCTGACCGCTCCCTCCTTCCAAGCCGCTACAACCTGAAGCGTAGAGTTGCCTCGCTGCCTCCCCTCTCGTCCGAAATCTTTGCCGAAAAGGTCCTTGCGAACAAGGCCTCTGCCGCCGCCACTGCCGCCAGGGCTCAGTATGAAAAGTTGTGCGATGCTTGCCAAAAGACCTACTTTAGCGAAAATGCCTACGCAAACCACTTGAACAGTCAAAAGCACCGTCAAAATGTTGCCAGAGCTTCTCGGAGGGACGACGACGCTTCGTCCGTCATGAGCTCGACCTTTTCGCTTGGAGAAACAGTAGACTCCACATCGACTGCGCTCCCGGACAGAGACACCGACTCCGAAGTGTCCGAGGTTGTGGATGGAATCCAAAATACATCTTTGGGCGAGGGCTCATCTGCAGGCGGAGAGCAAACCAAGACCGCTACCGTCACCGTCGACACCGCCGCATCTGCCAAAATTGAGCCGCCAGCCGAAGTTGTCGACTGCCTGTTCTGCAACTTCCGTTCGCCAACCCGCGACCTCAACCTTGGCCACATGCAGCGCTTCCATGGCCTTTTCATTCCCGAGCAAGAGTACCTTGACGATCTCAACGGACTTCTCCGTTTCCTTTGGCGCAAGATTCACGAGTTTTGCCAGTGTCTCTACTGCAACAAGATTGTCTACACGGCAACTGGCATCCAAACCCACATGCGGGACCGCGGCCACTGCAAAATTGCGTACGAAGACGAGGACCAGATGCTTGAAATTGGCGAATTCTACGACTTTACACGCACCTATTCCGACGATGAAGAAGGCTCTGTCACCGAGGGCGAGGATGGCGAGGGCGCAGAGGATGGTTGGGAGACGGACAGCAGCGTTTCCGACGTTCCAACAGACGAAATCACGTCTGTTCCCATTGATGACCGCTCGCACCGGTACGCAAAACTTGGACAACACCGCCACCACTCGCACGCAGATCCGCGCCCCCATAAGGCGGCTGACGGATACCACAGTCACGCGCACTCGGGCCCGAGAGCCGTCTACCACGACGAGTACGAGATGCACCTCCCGACGGGCCGCACTGCCGGACATCGCTCGCTGCGCCATTATTACCGCCAGAACCTACGCAACTATCCGACGGCGGCCGAGCGCGCCGAGCGTCTGGCCATCGAGGAGGCGCAAGCCATGCGCAATGCCTCTTCGGGCGACGAGGACGAAGACGACGACGAGGCCGAGGGCGGCGTCCAGCTGGAGCCTGGCCGCGGTCAGCTCGAGCGCGGCAGGGGCCGCAATCGCGACAGGCAGCTCGTCTCGCGCCCCGAGAGAGGCCTGGTCGGTGTCACCGACATCAAAAAGAGAGAAATCAGGGCAGCCGAGCGGAGAGAAAACAGAAAGGCGCAGCGCGAGCAAGCGCGGTACGAGTGGACAAAGAACAAGAAGGGCAACTTCCAAAAGCACTTCAGGGTAAGCATCAACGTTGCGGTCTCGACACTCCAGAAACAATTCCAGCTGACAATCAACAGGACCCGCTTCTCCAGTGATCAAATCCAGTATGTCAGGAGTCAGGTTTTCTCTGATTGGGCTCCTTTTTCCTGCATGTTCCAGATTCATGCGGTGCTGCATGTATCGGGCGCCAGCTTTGCACGTGGTTGGTTGAAAGAAGCCACACAGCCATATTTCTTTCTCCCGTTTGGTGAGTACGAGGATGTACGTGGGTAGATGCATGGCTAGATAAAGAAGAAGACGCGGCGTTTGCGGGACCTGTCTATACATTTACCTATCCTTCTTGCGCAAAAATAGAGTGCTTTGCTGCTACCATTCGACCATGTATCTGATTCGAGGATGTTGTTGTGACCTTGCCTCCATCCCTTTGACACACAAGAAAAGAGTTCTCTGTCTGACTGCTCCCTGGTTCTTCACAGCGAGCACAGAGAGCAAATGCAAAAATCCCAGCTTCCCTGGCATGTGAGCCACCTACCTACCTGGCTGGTACGTGCCAACTCGCTACGATCACATCAATCTCGTATGCTATCAACGATGTGCACACAAAGAGAAAGAAAAAAGCATTTTTTCACCCGCTAGTCAGCTAGCTACCTATGCATGTGTGCCTAGTTCATCTCCCTTTTTCCTTCCTCTCCCCTCCTCTCCTTCCCTCCCCGAAACCCCACATAGCAAGGAAGACAAAACAAAGACCCCATCCCACGGCACGCCACCCCTCACTCAAAACACAAAACGAAAGCAGCGACCCGGGATTGAACCGGGGACCTCGGGATGGGATGCTGTTGTGAGTGAACTGCAATCCTACGCTCTGCCGCTGAGCTACCGCTGCTTTACGTGCGAAATGAGATTGAGAAGTTTACATATAGATATCAATTTTCAAATCTGGGGACTTGGGGCGGGGAAGGGGGATGAGGGGAAGGTCGGGATGAAGGAATGGTGATGGGGATGGTGCTGTGGGGCGGGGATTTGAGGCGAAATTTAGTGGGTGAGGGGGGGTAATGGGGAGGGGAGGGGAGAAACAAGGGTGGCGGCGTGAATGCAGGGGTCGCGGGTGACGCAAGGGTGTAGGTGGCGTCCAAGAAACACATGGCATTTCTCTCAAGCAAATTACGTGTCTTGCTGTCTGTCCGCCTGTCCGCATGCTTTGATTTTTGTATCTATTCATCCAATCTGCTGGCTGGGCAAAAGAGAAATCAAAAAAAAGGGGGGGAAAAAAGGAAAAAAGAGTAAAGAAAACAAATAAGCACTCGTGTGACTATGCAGGAGGAGAAGGACCCGTGGACCCATCCGGACGCAACTGACTGAGACGCCTTGCTATGATGCCCCGTGGTATAACCCAACGCGCAAGACCAGGACAACGAACCGACGGCAAAGAAAAAAAGGGGGAAGGGCAATATACAAAGCGAGAAGAACCGGCATCTATGAATGGTTCAAGGGAATTCGTAAAAGGGTATGCAAAGCAGCGCCTCACCCGTGCGACAAAGACGACCGACCGTTGCAAGTAATCCATTTGTTGTGCCATTGACCGTGGTGTATTTGGGTCGGAGGATTATGATGATGATAAAATCAGACTTTGGGGGTATCAAGCAGAATTTCACAACCAATCGGTGCGCTGTGGAGCCATTTACCTTAGACCATTTCCACATAGTTGCTGTGCATCTGTTATTAGCACTACCGTTGTGGCAGATGACTCGAGCGGAGCGATGCGTACCTTGGGAAAATTCCCTCCTTGTCTCCGATCCTTCCGGTCCACCAATCCGTTTCGTTCTCTGTCCTCTTGATCACTTCAATGATGTCACCCTTCTTGAAGCCCAAGTCGCCCGGCTGGTCAGGGTCAAAGGTGAACTTGGCAATGGCTTGGTTGGGACCCAGCATCGACTTCCTAAATTGAGGCTTGGGCGCCGTTGGCCTGCCGGGCCCAACCTTTTTGCTTCCGTAAAAATCGCCGGTGCTGACAGCACGGGAGCGTCTGTCCATGGTGTCAAAGGTTTCATTCGGATTTGCGCGGGTGGAGAAGGATCGGTTGATGCCAGTGTTTTGAGGTGACGGGCGATCGTAAACCTCATCCGTCCAGGTGGACGAGCGAGAAGGTGGGCCAAAGTCATTGTTGGTAGATCCAGTACGGTGGCCGCGGACGCCCTCTCCATAAGCTGAGCCTCGGCGTCCCTGCCAAACCACGTCTTCATGAGAAGAGTCGTAGATGGGCATGTCATTGTACATGGAATCTGAAGCAGAGCCTCCACCAGCTGCGCCGGCAAAGACGCGCGAGTTGAGGACACGCATCAAGGGGTCGGCTGCCGGAGGGACTGGGACGTTGCCTTCGAGGAGCTGTCGCGCCGTGATCCTGCGGCCGTAGAGTTTCTCGTTGGCGTCACGGCGCTCAATGAGAACGCTACCCTCCAAACTGACACCAGCAAAGAGGCCCTTGGTCTTGGAGTATGCAAACACGCCAGCGACGCCCTTCAAGCTTGCTGCACCAGCGGCTTCGGCGTTGCGACCCACTGGTCCGGCAGCGATTGACACGTTACCGCCAAGAGTCAGCGAGCCGGCCTGCGAAAATGTTCGGACGGCCGAGGCATCGTTGAGGATGAAGACAAAATCGGTCAACTCGAAACCAATCTGGCCACCGAAGCCTCCGCCAACGGTTCCAATGGCCGAAGGCGCTGACCAGCTGCCATCTGGGAGACGCGCGACGACAATGCCAGAGCCGAAACGACCGGAACCGAGGAAGCCGGCCTTGAAGACGGTCAAGACGGCGAGACCCTAGGGAAAAAGAAATGTCAGACTTGGCTTGTGGTGTTGTGCAAGGGCGCGAAAGTCGAGGCGGTCGAGCGGGGTGCGGCATGTGAGACATACTTTGGCATTGGCGAGGACTTGCGGGGGAATGATCTTATCTGGACCAAAAGACTGACGGGGGTCGACGAAGGAGGCGAGGATTTTACCCGTCTTCTTGATTTCACCTGCAGAGCAGATTCAGGCGTCAGCGTGGGGCGACGTCATCGGTCGAGGCGGCCGAGGGCGGCGGGGGACAGGAAGAGAAGAGGAACTTACTGCCGACGGACGAGGGCAGAGGGTTATGGATACCGAGCGGCATTCTCGAGAGGGGGGAGGGGCGAGGTGAAGAGGAGGAAGATGGGTGTGTAGGTGGTGTTGAGCGGAGGAGAGTTGAGCGAGGCTGAGTTGGGTGACGAGCGGGCGGTGCTCAGGTCTGGTCAGCGGGTACTGTACATAATAAGCAAACCATCCGCGAGAGCCGGCTGCTGGCAGCGCCTCGGCCTCAGCCCCGATATTGCGACCACAACTCCAGGCTGTCCATATGTCTGTCAGCATCAAACACTCGGTCAAGTCCACGATATGACGGACTTTTCGCCTGCATGCGTCACATCCATCTTGGCGACAAGGTTAACTTTGCGCCCGCGGCGCCGAGCCTGAACCGTCTTTTGATGAAGCTGAGAGCCCGCCGCCCATCTCTGGCGTCCGAGTGTCTGACTCTCCAGACTGTGGCAGCTCACGGCGACCAACCAGTGCACCGCATCTCTGCCATCTTCTGCCATACTTGCGACCATCCCCAGCTCTGTCGCAACCTCACCCCACTCCCAGGCGCCATGAACTGCCGTATGTGATTCAGGATGCGGGGCATGGCCGACTCCGCACTTAGGTTGAGCAATCCCCAGATATAAAGAAGCATCATGGCTGGCAATACCGAGCATAGCAGTCGTCACCATGAGCAACCCAGTCGCCGTCATCACTGGTGCGTCCTCGGGCATAGGGCTGGCTCTGACGCAGCACCTCGTCTCCAAAGCCTGGCACGTTGTTTTGCTCGATCTCAACCCTCCTCCAGCCTCTGCCTCGCTTCCTGAAGGAGCATCTCTATTCGTCCAATGCGACGTCTCTTCGTGGTCCTCTCAGTCGAGCGCATTTGCCCGCGCATTCGAATGGCGCAAGCGCGTCGACTTTGCCGCTCTCAACGCTGGCATTGACGACCGCGACGACATTTTCAACACGCTTGCGCCGTCCAATGGCCCCTCCGCGCCGCTGCTGCCCACCAAGCCCAATATGAAAACCCTCGAGGTGGACCTTTTCGGTGTTTACTACGGCATCAAGCTCTTTGCGCATTACGCCTCCCTCTCGCCGTCCCCAAACAAGGACATCATCGTAACCGCCTCCTCCGCTGCGCTCTATCCGATTCCTTCAGTTCCGCAGTACTCCTCTGCCAAGCAAGGTCTACTTGGCCTTGTGCGGGCGCTGGCACCGAGTGCTGCGGCGCGTGGCTTCACCATTAATGCCATATGCCCGGACATGGTGCAGACGGCTTTGGCTCCCGAGGGACTCATGGAGAGGTATCCGAATGACGCCAAGACGCCCATGTCGTCTCTGATGCGGGCATATGATGACTTGCTGGGACTTGCACCTGGTGGAGCAGAGAAGAAGAAGAATGGCCAGGTGCTCGAAGTCGTGATGGACCAGCTATTATACCGAGAGGGCCTGAAGCCGCTAAACAAGAAGCAAGGGGCTGAAAACTTGGAAGGTGTCCAGGAATTGTGGGAAGACGTCTATCGCAACAGGAACATTGCGTTTGCAAGGAAAACAGAGGAGGCAGAGCGGGCGAAAGAGAGAGCCTGCGCGAAGTTGTAGGACGATCAAGATGGAGGAGAGCGAGAGACCAGCAGCAGCCAAGTGCGCCAAAGAGATGCGCGGCCAAGTTGGCCTTCATCACCGTCTCAATAAATCCATCGACTCGGCCACCCATTTCCCAATCCACATCACCTAGCCAATGACAGCGGCAAGAAGCGGCAACCAATGACAGGCGGAGAGTGTCGAGCAGGGTCCAGTTCAGGCAGGCACCCACTCTTCGCCCACTCTCGCCGCACTCCGCAACGCCAAACGCCCTAAACCCTACGCACGCACGGATCAACATCGTGAAGTGGTGCCCGCCGTGCCGTGCCCGCCGCGGGAGCCCCCGCGGTCCTGGTCCTAGTAGAGTCCTTGCTCTCATCATCATCGTCAGCCCGTCCGTAAGGCTGTCTCCTGAACCGTCCGGTTCCTGGCCGTAAATCATCCTCTTCCGCCATCTGGTGTCTGCTCTGGTCCGTCTCCCGTCTCCACTCCGCCTCACTCTTGCCCCGGCCGGTCTGCCATGTTCCAATGCCCTCGACTCAGGTCGTCGGGACGGGACCCACCGCACGATAACCGGCCGGGCGAGTGAGCGACCAAACGTCTCGGCCGACTTGGCCATGGTGTTCTTCATCGATTCTCTTTTTGTGGTCTCTCTTTTCTATTCTGCCTCCGTCGACGTTTCGCTGCTCCCTCTTCTCGTTCTCTGCCCGAAGCCAATGTGAGTGGCGAGGGAGCTGCGGCGTGGCGCGACGGTACGCCAGTTCGCATGTTCAGTGCAGGCCATGCCACACTTTGGTCAATCTACCGTGCCCTTACTTCATCCAGCGGTCTTTCTTGCTGTCCGTCCAAAAATGCTGATCAATAGAATCGCCACACGACTCTTCTCCCCTTGTCTTCTTTCCCCTCTTTGCCACTGGCTGTCGAGTCTTGCCACTTTCCATTCTTGGGTCACTTGCCACTCGTTCTACTCTGTTGTCTCGTCTTGGTGGCATGTTGTTCATGGGTGTCTGGACGTAACTAAACCGCAGTGTCTTTGCATTTCCTCGTGTTCTGCTGAAATATGACCCCAACCTATCCCGCCCCATTCGCGAGCCTATCATCACAGCTCTCTATCTCCGTCACTGAACTGGCTTCTGTGCGTCGAGCGCTTTACGCATTTCTCGTTACTTCTCGCCCCTACTCACGAACTCTCGTCTACTTTTTCATTGGTAC